TGCCCTGTAACGATTATAGTTACAATTAAAACAGTCTTAATTCTCACGTGCACCATCTTTCTCTATTAATTCACTCTTCTACATGTGCTTGGCCCAAGAGATCAGTATTTAAATAAATCTATAGGATTCCAAGAGTTGTGGCAGAATTCTGTAATTTTCAGTAATTTTTAATACCCTCTCTGCTCTCACCCAGGGAACCGACAATGCATCTCTAATTCCACATCAGAGTTGACACTTCAGCTGCCCCAGCAAAAGAAAACACTCTCCTTTTACACTTGGCTGCTCTGAGACCATTCCATTCTTCTGTTTCATTTCCGATTGCATGCAGAACAGTACTTATTGAAGAGGATCAACACATTTGTCTGTACTTGTAGAGGTAAACGAATTTATTGTGGCAAATAATGTATTTGATGAATGAATTTCTCTATGGTTTCTGTTTGCAAATTGAAAAGTTTGCAATTTTTGCATTATTTGGAATTGTTTGCCAGGTAATTTTGGTGAGAAATGTTTGGTCAGCAGATCACTGGTACCTATCTGCTTGAAACTTTGGATTATTGGGTGATACATGTTATTTCTGAGGGGACACAGGTTACAGGGTATACTTTTATTCCTGATTGGATGGCCAGCGCTCTTAGTGTCTGTACAAATACTCAAGCTTCAAATTCTGTTTCTGTTATCTATACTTGTGAAAGATGTAATCAAGGTGTTCACAAGATCCCAAAGAATCTTCTCCCTGCCTCCAAATCAGCCAACTTTTTGCAAAATAGCATTGCCATAGTCTTCTCATCTTACCCTTTCCCCTATGCGTTACCTATCAGATCCTCTGCTTTTTAATATCCTTGATGAATTTCCTTGACCATTCATCCCTTCATGTTCCTTATGTCTTTCCATCCCCACTTAAGTATTTGCCATATCTAAGAGATGATCACCGGAGATGATGAAGGGGGATGTAGGAGAGGCAAAGAAGGAGCATGTGTGTGGAAGAGCTGCTCATCCTGAACAGCCAATGTGCAGCCTTAATTCCAATGTCAAATATATTGCACTTTAACTAATAGATATGCAGGATAATAGTTGTAATTTACACTCCAAAATTAATACCAAATTTATTACAATAAATGTTCCAATAATGAACATGGACGATCCTTTTAACTTTTTTTTTCAACATTACAAAAAATATCTTGCAGCTTACACCAACAGAAAACTACGTACACAGTGATTTATGAAGGACACACCAACCATGTTTAATCATCAGTACAAATAGATAGTCTACAGTCAGAGTTCAAGAGTACCAGTAGTTGGTTCAGTATTGGTGGGTTTGTGTTGGTAGGACATAGTTTAGCAACCAAAATGTGTCTGTCAGATATTCAGTTTAGCATCTATAACATGTCTGCATGTGTATTTAGAAATATAGCTAATATCTGTAGCACACAGAAGTCTCCTGTGGGATAATACCATTCAAATTATATACAGTAGAACCTCAGAGTTAAGAACACTACAGGAATGTTTGTAACTATGAAATATTTGTAACTATGAACAAAACATTATGGCTGTTCTTTCAAAAGTTTACAAATGAATATTGACTTAATACAGCTTTGAAACTTTACTATGTGAAAGAAAAATGTTTTTACCGTCTTAATTTAAATGACACAGGCACAGAAACAGTTTTCTTACCTTGCCAAATCTTTTTTTTTTTTATAAACTTTTCTTTAGTTTTTAGATTATATTTAACCCAGAACTCTACTGTATTGGTTTTTATTTGTTTTGTTTCTGCTATTGCCTGATTGCCCACTTCTGGTTCCAAATGAGATGTGTGGTTGACTGGTCACTTGTAACTCTGTTGTTCATAACTCGGGTTCTACTATATTTCCAAACAATTTATACTTATTTTTGCTAATTAATTTAAATTAAATGGTGTGGTGAAGGTTGGGAAATGAGATTTCAGCGTTTCTTGAAACAGACTGCAAAATCTTGAATCACAGGAGTGAAAATTTTGAAAACTTCCTTTAAAATGGCAGACATGCATGACAGGTTTGGACTAGTTGTACATCTAGACTTGTTCACCATGTGTGGACTCTGATTGCTAACGCAGAACTGGTGACATATTGGGTAGTGTCAAAATGCTAAGACAATCTGAATGATCTATATATCAAGAAATTGTATTTTAAATGTTTTTATTTAAATATGTAGCATGTCTCCTTTCAGTTGCAAGAGTTTTTTTCATAGAATTATAGAAAGAACAGATAGGGCTGAAAGGGTCCTTGAGAAGTCATCAAGTCTAGCAAACTCTACCAAGTCAGGAACAACCTATACCAACCTTGGAAGGTGTTTGTTCAACCTGTTCTTAAAGATCCAATGATGAAAATTCTACAACCTCTCCTGGAAGCTGGTTCCGGCACTCAACTATGCTTGTGTACTGAAAGTCTTTTCCTGGTATTGATCCTACATTTTCCTACTTACAGCTTAAGCCCATTATTTTGTGTCCTGTCTTCAGCAGGCCAGAAGAGCAAATTATCATTATTCTCTTGAATAAAAGTGTTCCATATATTTGAAAACTCTTAATAGACTATCTGTCCCCTACCACCCGTTTTCTTTTCTTACATTTCAAACATTATTTTAAAATTAAGCACAGCCTGGAGTCTCTCCTCTCTTCCAGAAAATGGTGCTTTCAGCTTCAACCCAAGGCTGTGTCTAGACTGGCCAGTTTTACCAGAAAATCAGCCACTTTTCCAGAAAAACTTGCCAGCTGTCTACACTGGCCACTTAAATTTCTGCAAAAGCACTGACTTCCTACTGTAAGAAATCAGTGCTTCTTGCGGAAATACTACGCTGCCCTTTTGCGAAAAAGGTCCAGTGTAGACAGCTCGGATTTGTTTTCCGCAAAAAAGCCCTGATCGCTAAAATGGCAATCTAGGCTTTTTTTCGGAAACGTGCGTTTAGATTGGCACGGACGCTTTTCCGCAAAAAGTGCTTCTGCGGAAAAGCATCTGTGCCAATCTAGACACTCTTCTCCGAAAATGTTTTTAACGGAAAACTTTTCCGTTAAAAGCATTTCTGGAAAATCATGCCAGTCTAGACGTAGCCCAAGATATTGGGGGTGGAGGGGTAGAGGGAAGGTGCAGGAGATTGGAATTTCTTCCTCCCCTGGTTTGAAATAGGAGGAATTCGAACCCCAGCCGCCCATGCTTAGAGGACCCCTACTGCACACCAGTGATGGCTTCTTGTGCCTCTAAAAATATTAGGGAGTTTTCTTTCTTTCCCCCTAGCCAAGATTAGGGGGCTTTCCTCTATCTTCCCACTAATAGTCCAAGGTGGCCCCTCACCCCCAGGAGCGGGTTCCTCTATTCTCCCTCTCCTCCGATGTTGGGGTGAATTCTTCTGCCCATAAATAAGGGATCCGTCTTCTCTATGACTGCTCGGGAGTCCCCCCAGGGTGAGGGGCCCCGCTTTCCCCGCAGCCAGGCGTGAGCGGGCCTCGCTCCCTGCAGCCAGGCCCGGAAGCTCCGGAGCAGGGTGGGGTTTGGCGGAAAGGCTCGGGGCTCTCAGGAGCCGGGCCGGATTGATTGGGGTGAATTCTTCTGCCCATAAATAAGGGATCCGTCTTCTCTATGACTGCTCGGGAGTCCCCCCAGGGTGAGGGGCCCCGCTTTCCCCGCAGCCAGGCGTGAGCGGGCCTCGCTCCCTGCAGCCAGGCCCGGAAGCTCCGGAGCAGGGTGGGGTTTGGCGGAAAGGCTCGGGGCTCTCAGGAGCCGGGCCGGATTGAACCCTGCCCCCTGCCCTCTGACCGCCGCGGAGGCAGCCCCAG